TTTGTACATTCCGCACAGCCAAACGGACGCCCCACTTTAGCAAGGATTTTACTGCCGGTCGGAGGAAGACCAATGGTGACCATACTTCTATTCCCCAGACACCCTTGGGGGTATACACGAAGAACAAATTAAAGTTTGATATAGAAAATAAGCAATTGCAAAGACCACTGCATCCATTTAGCACTCTGCAACACCAAAGTTACTGCTGCAAGAAGCGTGTACTCACAACAGTCATGATGAGATGTGCAACAGTTGCAACCTTCTTGAAAAGACAAGTGAACAGCTATTACAAAGTATTTTGTTTATGATATTGAAAGAATAACGTACTTGTTTATAGGCGTCAATGAACTTGTTGAGGTCGCTTAGTAATAAATAAAATAAATACTATAAAGCAATATTGTTTGTTTGTTCAATTATATTTTTACTGTTTTAGATAAGATAACACAAGGGTGTCAAGGAAGAAGAGGAAAGCCTCTACAAAAACTAAAACATGAGAAGCTATTTTGAATTGTCGAATTTGCTCTTTTAATGCACAATTCTTTCATTCATAATGCCAACAAAAAAATACTTATGAACAAGGGCAACTTGTCATAAATGCAGTTTTGCCTCAAACAAAGATCACAAACATTGAAATTTGGTCCGATGCATTTCTATTTTTTATGAGTATATATTGTTCTGTGCAGTACCGCTTAAAAAAAGATCGAGATCTAAGTGGGTCGTGGGGTAAATTAGATTCGAAATATTGGATGTGGTATATGCAGTCCACATTAGTTCAACCGCAGGGCCAAGCCACAAATCATGCCTCAATTAATCGCGCTTTTTACACATACCAAACGGCTACTACACTAAGATGTTACAGTTTTGATTTCGACGGCATATGTTACAATCATTCTTGCTTGCGTTGTGGTCTGCATTGTCCAATTTTATGATGTGTTAAGCAAATTTTCGTCGGCAAAAAATTGAAAACAACACTTTTATTAATAGCATGCGTCCGAAGCGCTTTTCTGGATTTACCTTCATCAGGAACGCTCAAAGCCAAACATTTGAAATCCAAGGGTCCAGTCAAACTAGGACTGAACCTACATTTAGTGGTCCAAGATTCACTAGACCAAGGTCTAATTTTCGTTCCCCCTGACCAAATTATCAACCTCAAAAATCAAATGGACGCTTTATGGGAATTAAGCAGAACACCTATTAAAGTTGCTTGTTTACCTTACAATGCATACACAGCGATACTAAGTACTGCCGTTGCCGATCATCTTAATAACATGTTATAGTGTTCTTTAATACTTAACACTGTTTAATCTATTTTTTGGTGGCGTCCATTTCACATGGTACGGAACTTATACATCCCGTCATTATGTGTTTACAAGGGGTCGCCCCGATATTCCGACACCCCATTGGTCCAACACCCCATTAGTCGGACACCCCACTAGTCCGACACTCTTGACATAGATTATGGCATTACATAACTTTGCAAATGCAGCTTTAATGCTTGAAATTCTGAACTGACGAAAACATAATTGCAAACTGCATTCGTACATTAAAAGATATATAAAATTCAAACATTCAAAAGTAAGATTACAAGTGCTTAGTTTTAGTAACAGTCTGTGGGAAAATGGATAATACGGATAATTTTTAGTCACTTGATCAATATTAAATTGTGTACGCATCATCTGAACACAAGTAATATTTACGTTATGTCGACTTAATTGATTGATTGATTGTTGGTTGCTTAACGTCCAGTGGCAAATATTTCATGCATATTCAGGACGAGAACAAGTTCACAATAAATACAATAGGTAGGTTCTGTAATAGATTAAGGGGTTAAGGTCGGAGAAATTTAGACTGCCACGGGAAATGAGGGTATATTGGATAGGGACAGAAAATATGTCGACTTAAAAAGAAGCCAACTCGATATTACACTTATGTACTTGTGCTTATCGAGTCCAAGTCACTTATTTAAAAAAAAATACTCGAGAATGAGAATGTCGTCACAAAAACCGCTTTTCTGTCTTTAAACGTTTTCTTTACCTCGGGCCGATTTGAGGCCGAATTGTAAATATTAAGTCAGTGGCGTAGCTTGCATGTATGCTCAGATGCTCAAGCATCCACTTCATTTTGATGTACTATTGGAGTGGCAAATAGTTACTCAGTTTGTAATTGAATGATGGAATCACATAAAGATGGAACAAGGGCAAGATTATATAGCCTCAACCACTTTGCAGCGGGGCCCTTAAAAAGTTTATTATCCATTAAAACTTCTATTTTAATCGTTAAAAACAAACAAGTTTTGACACCATTTAGTCAAGGTCAATTAATCTATGCATGATAAACTTCTCCAATGTTAACACATTAACCATATATATTAATTGATTTAAACTAAATCTATTATTTAAAAAAGCAGCAATAATACACAACAGAATGTACAAATCTAAATGTTTTGTAAAAAGGCATTAATTTTCCTAATTAAACTGATTTATAATCTTCAAATTACGGTCTTTTATTCAAGACTTTACTGTATGGCTTTTTTCTGAATGTTGAAGGCTGTACTGTGCTTATAGGTGACTACGATCACTTTATTTAAACTTATCTGATTGGCAATCTTACCACATCACCTTATATTTACCATGTGACCTGCAACAGATGAGCGATGCCTTTCAAGACCCACATAAGCACCTTTGGTTAACTACAAAATTAAAATAAAGTCCTTTTTGATCTTGTAAATGAGAGTTTATATTGCATAAACACCAGTTTTGGATCATCTTTATTTAGATAAAAGATAGGAAAACTAAACGACCACATATATTCATATTAAACTTACATATATTCATATTAAACTTACATATTTTGAATATTCCATTACTTTGTCAACCACTGTCACAATAGCCGCAACGCATGTGCATGACCCCAATCCCCATACAAAGCATTAGAAAAGGCAATGAAAGTGCAGTTCCCATCTGCTTTGGTGGCCAAGCAGATTCTCTTTCAAATTAATGTTGGCATAAAATCTTTATATCCGAAAAAGAAGAATTATGCAGTGAGTAGACTCAGTTAAATACAAGATATCAGATTCATATTCAATCTATTATGGATAAAACTTAGAGCCAGTTCCTTGTCTTGTGTCGGCCACACATTCTTCCTGAAAAAGTATAAAAAAACCGTTATAAATAAATTGAATACAATTTTGTCTCATTGATTAGTTTCCGACATATTATACAAATGTTTTCGTTCAAGCCATAATACCCGATCCAACTGAAATTTATTTCACTCAAACGCCTTTAAACTGAAATGCATAATTAACAGGTCGCAACTATAAATGACCAGACTGAACATTTGTAACAGACATAAATAAAATGCTCTGCTGGGCGCAGCTTGATACGACCGCAGAGGTCGAACCCTGAACAGTTGGGGCAAGTGTGGACACAACATTCAAGCTTGATACAGCTCTGAATTTGGATTGAGATTAAATAGTACACAGCATAGGTTTCTGACACAGAATGAATGTGGTCTAAGAAATTAAAAGTTGTAAATTGGAAATTTACCTTTTATGGTCAAATATCCAAAATCTAAATATATGGTTAGTTTCAGCTTATCATAGAACCCCTAGAATTCAATTTTTGATGAAATCAAATAAAGTTCAATTTTGGACCCTTTAGACCTCAATGTGGACCAATTTGATAACGGGGCCCAACTATCAAAAATCTAAATACATGGTTAGATTCAGCATATCAAAGAACCCCATGCTTTCAATTTTTGTTGAAATCAAACAAAGTTTAATATTGGAGCCCAATTTGGACCAACTTGAAAACTGGGCCCATAATCAAAAATCTAAGTACATGTTCAGATTCACCATATCAAAGAACCCCAAGAATTAAATTTTTGTTAAAATAAAACTAAGTTTAATTTTGGATGTCATATGTCGAAGTTATGCACCTACTGTTATGGAATATTTTGATTGATATTTAATTTTATTCAGTTCTAGATGTTCATAATTCTAATTAATTAAAATAAATTTATAACCACGTGCGCTGTCTTATAGTCATTCAAGGTCGTTAAATACTTCCATCATAATCTATCTGACGTGGTTACCAATTTATTTTATACCTGAATAAACTTATAATTATAGCCCACGTGACACAGGTATATTAAAAATAGTTTTGTCGTTGTTACTATTGAAAAGTCAAAGTCGCTTAGTACTAAAATTGCTTCATGGTGCCATGATTAAATACGTGAAAGCAAATCCAATCGCCATATTAAGTGTTGCTTGCGTGTATGATATATTTAAATTTAAATTTTACATGTAATACGATATTTCTCCACTCTGGACATGCATGAAATATTTGCCACTGGACGTTAAGCAACCAACAATCAACCAATCAGGGTTTTTAATGAATTTTCTTGTCTTGAATTATGTTTATTTGTTTCTTCTCCTCCTTTGATAATTGTATAGCTTATGCGTTTGATGTAAACTAAGGCTCTGAGCGGAATGATTATTTTAGCTAAAGTGTAACTTGAATGGAGAGTTGTCTCATTGGCATTCATACTACATCTATTTATATATGTAAATATCGATGTTTTCACCATTCACATATGAAATTCCACAAGGAACCTTATCTTACACTCGACCACTATATTTAGTCTCGTTAGTAAAGTGTTGTCTCAAATAGTACATAAGATATGATTTTCCTGTATGACTGATTATACTGGTGTAATGAGGGTAGATGAACATTGTCTATTGGATGGTTTTTAAGCACTGTTGGCCTGGGCCTCATTTTATGGCATGCCATATTTAAGAAGTTGGGTTCCCCCTATATTGCATTTGATTTGTTTTATTGTCCCATACAAGAATATATATGGTTTAGCGGTGGGGATCTGGACCTTTTACAAGATATTAGAACATTCTCAAATTGAAGGGGGTGGGGATGACTCCTAGGGACTCACCCTATATTGTATTTGCTTTATTTTATTTTTCTGTGATCATTACTGAAGACCTTTATCACTTACTGTTTTTAAGTTATAGTCATTTGAAAATTAAAAAAAAAACAAATCCTATAGGGTTCTATAGTAAACCCCTCCCTGCTTTTGACCCCTCAAAATACCCCTAAATAGACCCTAATGCACAAAAGAAAGATTGATGGCTCCCCTCTCACATTTTATGAAACCCTAAGTTAATCTGACAAGCGTGAACAAGTTCATAGTTCAAGTGGCGGAAGAAGAAGAAGGAGAAAAAGAAGAAGAATAATAAAATAATAAGAACTGAGCAAAAACAATAAGTCTTGTTTGGAGAGACTTAATAATACATGATGAACAACTTAAAAACAGCTTAAAAACAAAAAATGTGGCAGTCCTAAAAAAATCTTCCATAAGTATTACAAAATAAATCAATCCTTTTTATTCATGTTTGAAACCTTCTTAATTACTGTATGCCAGTATCTTCTGTGAAGCTGTCCTCCTTTCTCTTTGCTGATAGATAAGACCTTTAAACATTCCTCCTTTCGAGGAGTTTTCTTTGCTGCCAGATGTTTCTTAAAATATATTCTGATTTCTTCTTCTTCGGTTTCTGTCCATTTCATTCTATTACATTTTTTAGCAGATTTTCTCTTTTTAACAATAACTGAAGTACTACTACCCTCCCCTGCATAGTCCTGATTTTCCTCGTCAAAGTAATATTCATCTGGAATATAATCATCTATGTCTTGTGGACATGGGTCTTCAAGTGCTTCAAGAGTACTTTGTGCTGCTTTTTGTGCATCATCCTCCTCTTCCTCTTCCTGTTCACCTTGACCTTGATTGCTATTGATTATGTCTGTAAAATACCAAAATGATAAAATAAATAATAAAGTTTCCCACCTGCTCGATTTGATTCAATTAATCTATAAAATGTAAGAGCTGTAAAGTGAAATGTGATGCTTACTTTCTCAGTTTTAAGGTGATCTTGACATGCGAGTAAACAAGAGTATGAGAGACAATAGAGGGTTCACATAAGAACACTTAAAGTGATTTTAGTTGTACATGTATAGGTATTTATTCATGTGTTTTGAACAGCTACAACACATATTTTAAATTGTGATACAGGGGTCAAAATTAATCCTTGTCTGGTGGTCTAGGACCAGTAGAACTTGCATCAGATTCAAACCATCTAGCAGATTTTGTAAGCTGGTAAACCAGTTGAAATTTTACAATTACACTGCTGTTTGCATGCCAATCACGCTTTGTGTACCTGTAAAATCAATTGCACAGTACTGGGGATATTCACAATTTTACAAATTACTCATAATTTCAGATGAGCATCCCTCTGACAACAATTGTGGAAGGTTTCAAACCGCCTGATAATAAAATTACAGAAGTTGATGAATAAAAAGAAGATTGAAATAAAGCCTATCAAAATGATAAAAAAAAATCGAAAAATTTCAGAAATCATGGCAAAATGGATCATAAATGGCTGCTTTACAATGTGGATCAAAATTTTATGAATTGTACCACCTGTGAAAAATTTGCTTTGACGGAAAAGGACAAACATTTGGTTTTTGTAACTTGATCCATAAATTTTATGATACATTTGTCTTTATAAATAAGAAATCTGTTGAGAGCATCAGTCTTCGTAGACTTAATTAAATATCTAAATTTATCAAAATTATCTTAATTACAAAAACATGGTATAATATTGACAATGTCTTCATAAATAGATGTTGCATTCACATATGAAATGAAACTCATCTTCAATTTTGCTATCAATACCATGTTTACACATTCTTTGACCCAAAGGTGTATTATTATATCTGCCTTTTTACGATGTATAAATCATGGTTAGAAATTCTTAACAGAGCTTTCTAACATATTGTTTTGAGATTTTAAACTTTGTATAAGTCTCAGGTTTGTATTCATTTTTGAGCTTATAATATGTATGTAATTTGTTTTGGTCTGATAAATGTGAGAAGAAATATTTTTCATATCTTTCTTGTAATCTATTTTCCACTGCAGATATGAGTTATCCTTCTCACATTGTTCCTTTATTATTCCAGACATGGTCAAAACCTATGAATTTTAGAAACTGAAAATGTGTTTGTTAAAGGTACATGAAAAGGTACATTCAACATCTTTGATTGACTTACATGTATATGCTTATTTTCAAAAACCTTCCTAAAAACAGACCAAAACACAAAAACTTAACTTTAACAACTGAACATTAAAATGAGGTCAAGGTCAGATAACACCTGTCAGTTGGACATGTACACCTTACAATCATTCAATACACCAAATAAAGACATATTGCTTATGGTATCTGAAATATTGACTTATTATAGTTGTCAGATCTTTACAAATGGTCTTTTTGTTGTTGGGATGTTTAAGTGCCCAGCCACTTTCACTCTTTTTTTGTTTTTCTAAGTGTATCCATCTGATGAGTTAAACCTTTTTCAACTAATTTTTATAGTTTGTTCTTATGCTGTACTATTACACCACTGTCCCAGGTTAGGGGAGGGTTGGAATTAGGTCAAGGACAATGGACATATGACAGACGGAAACTTCATAACATACGGCATCTATGTACATAGTATGAAGGAACCAGGTCTTATACCTTCTGAAATATTAAGCTTTAAGATGTTCACTATCCCTATGTTGAGCTGTCACAGGCTCGACAAAACTTCATATTTTCATTCAAAATAAATTTATTAGAAAAAAAATAAACCATCAGTCTTTAATTTTGATTTGTACATGTAAAAAGTTTGTGGTTTAAAACCTAACAGTTTTTTAATGCATTTACAGGGTAAACATCATATATTTTAAAAACATAGAAAAAATCCAAAATTTCCCAAAATTGTACTTTTTTCTGAGGTTTTCTAAAAGTTTTCTTTCAGGATTGAGGACTCATAAGATTATGCTTTTAATTGTTTCATATCATTTATGAACCAAAGCCTGTAGGAAAATCAAAACACTCTTATAATCAAGTTCAATGAACTGTCAAAGATTACCTGTCACTTTTATGCAATCTTACCTATTATCAATAAATAACTAAAAACAAGTGTCAACAATTTTAATCTGTTGTCTTAGTGATTTCTTGAGTTCTTTATTGAGTTAATGAACTCTGACTGTGAAAATGAAGATAATCATAAAATGGTGATGATATGATGGAAAAGAATGTTTTTTATACTCTGTCAGCAGAAGGGTGCAAGGTGCACAGAAAAGGGGATCATACTGTGTAGACTTAAATTCCTGATCCTAATTTAATTGGTATGTCTTTCATATTTCTTTATTGTTAATCAAACCAAGATTTCAACGTTTACAAAATGAAACTGTGGTAAGTTCTTGGGGTCACAAGATTCAGTTTACTTTCATGATTTTACTTACCTTTCATAGAAACAGCTTTGAGCGTTTTCCCTTTGAACTTTTCTGTCAAGTTCATATCCTGTATTAATAAAATTTTGCTTATTTCAACCCGTTCTATAAAACCACTCATCTGGCGATAGTGTTCCAGATGAACCTTCTTTGTGTGGCCTAAATGATTACACAGCCAAGTTAGCTGGTTTTCCTTTAAATCGAGAACTTAAAATAGACAATAGGAAATATGATTTAAGTTGACATATAAACCTGTCATCAATATACAAATTATGCATACTGCATACACAGGAAAAAAATAATGTTTTTTTGTTCTTAAACACAAGGGATGCTAATAATACACTTATGGTAAAAGCAGTAAAGGACACCGGACACTTCAAATAAACATTACTTCTTTCAATTCATAATCACGAGTTGATTCATTATTTTCATTCCGTTGTGTGTTTCAGTGACCTGATAAGCTACACGCGGTCAGTAATTACACAAATTTTGATATGTTCCGATAAGTACCGAGTAATCCCTACAATTAATAAGATAACCTCCGACTTTGTGCGTGACGTCAGGTGTGAGAGTCACTTTCATACTTTCGTTAGTTTGATCAGGGAAAATATCAAAAAACTTAAAAGTATGGATTTAGACGGGATTGAGATCAATTACAATATTCAAAATAGCAAATATACATAAATGCAGAATATATGTTTTTGCAAGATCCGTTAATTTATTTATATAAATGATTTTTAAAAGTGTTAAAATCATTGTACATCAATCAGTATACCAATGACTATGCGGGAAGTTGCAAAATATATATGTTATACATGTCAGTATTTTTTTATGTTTCATTTTTTCTCGTATTCATTAAACCATTTGAGGGGTTCCGGTATATGAATGGCTGTTAAACGTTCAGTGACAAGTTATAGATTAATATTCAGGATAAGAACATTATAATGAGCTATGAACGTTTTACCCCTTTTTTTAAAAAAGATTTATTTTATCATATTTAACGAAGGCGAATAGGGGATACATATTCGTTTCTTAATATGTCATATAATCATTTCACAAACAAAAAACTTTAATTTAGATAATTATTTAGCTGATTTAACATAAAAATGCTTATAAAATTCTCCAAGTTCTGCCAATTAAAAAGTTGCCCTGCTCGAATAAAAAAAAATCTAGCAATACCAAGAAAATAACTAATACTATAATTGTATACTTTTTAATAGTTTTACATGTATTTAAAATTATAAGAAATTATAAATGACATAGAAAGGCGGGATTAAATTAAAATAAATGACACCTTAGTTGAGTAGACACCAGTTTTTTCTTTCTTCTGGAGGTCATTTCCCCACCCCCTTTCATTTTCAGATATATACATTTTAATGCCGTAAAATTTGTTTGAAAATGTAAAAGATTTATTTGCCTGGTCGGAGAAAAAAGAATATGTTTTTTTAACACAAATCACTGCCAATTTTATCAAAATTATCATTCCCGTTTTTTAGAAACATTGAATAGATCTACCGATGTCGCCCGGAAATATTATATAGAAAATGTATAGATATATAATGACGAACATTGCATTTCTCATTTAAATAAAGAAATATCGAAACCAGAACGAAATTTTGTGAAACTTTTACTCCGGTGTATCCGAGATCTGATAGTTTAGCTGGGTGGTGGCTTACTCTGACTTTCCGTAAAATGTAAGGAATACATTGAGCACATTCTTAGTCTCCTGCAATTATGGGCTATGAACGAGGTGTCTATGGATAATTCGAAAACGTAAACCGATATATATATATATTACTTGATTATTTTTGGAGTTGCTTTTGCTTTTAAACTCTCTCATAAACTACGAAATAAACCATTTTTTAAAATAGTCAAAATATCAAGTTATCGATTTTACTCATTTTTACAGAAGATATATAATTATGATACAATTATGGTATAAATACGAGACATAAAAGAGACCTTAGACATTATCAATTAACCGTTTATTTATTCTTTATAATAAGGCATATTTGCTATAAAATTAACACAGCTTTTTCTATCGCTCTCACATGTGACGTAGGATGCGCGTGCCTCGATATCGATCTAAAAATATGCATAATAGAGCAATCAAGGACATCTGTGTATATTTTGTAGATTATCAGCTTCCCCGGTGAGAAATACACAAAACCACATGATAATAAATGTTTTATTGGTGATCAGAACTTATTTGATATAAAGAATGTTTGTAGTGTCCGGTGTCCTTTAAATTTGAATAAGGAACAATAATTGTATCTACATGACTCATCTGATAAAGTTTCGTCACTCTTGTTTTCATCATGCACTTCAAAAGTTTATGTAAAAAAATACAACATCAAGTTTATTTGTTCACAAATGCAAGAATAAATATTTTTTGCAACTTGTATACCGGCCATCTCATAATAAACAATTGAAGCATAACAATGAAGTCAATAAATGAATTTGGATTTATTGTTTTCCTAACCTATTGATTATCTTTATTTAATCAACATGGGGTTTGTTTGATACCAGCTATTCATTGGTCAAAATTTGATTATGACATTCAATTTGCATGCTTTCCTCTGAATTTCCTATTGTGATGTCATGAAACAAGTGTGGACACAGACATGCATGGATAGTATCCAGCATTCAAGACCAATACTGGTCTGGACCTGTGTCACTGCATATATTTGCTCAATTCCTTCAATATTAACTAAAAAATTTGGTCTAAAAATTTTCCTTGTACAATAAGTGGCTAAATTTCAAACAATCGGCAAACAGGAAGTGGCTGCACCACAGATCTAAAAATTGCTAACATGTTACGACTCACCATGATCAAACTCTGGACCAAATATAAAATCATTCCCTTTCATAGAAGCCAAGAAAACTTTGACAAAAAAATTTCCTTGTACATTGAGTAGCTAAATTTCAAACTATCGGCAAACAGGAAGTGGCTGCACCACAGATCTAAAAATTGCTTACACGTTACAACTCAACATGATCAAGCTCTGGGCCAAATATATAATCATTCCCTTTCATAGAAGCCAAGAAAACTTTGACGAAAAATTTTCCTTGTACATTGAGTAGCTAAATTTCAAACTATCGGCAAACAGGAAGTGGCTGCACCACAGATCTAAAAATTGCTTACACGTTACAACTCAACATGATCAAGCTCTGAACCAAATATAAAATCATTCCCTTTCAAAGAAGCCAAGAAATCTTTGTGGAAAGTTGACAAGCAAGGTCTTTCGGACGGACGGAATGACGGAATGATGGAATGACGGACCTAGTTGAGCGGTTACTAGACTTGCTTTCACCGTTGGTGACGCAGGTAAAAAGGCGACCATGCCTGATGACATCACACAGAAAGAACACATTATTTCTTAGTTTTTAAGATATTCAAGATGGGAATACATATATTTTGTTAATCTGTAACAGTTTTGAGTAATTTTTCTGGCAGACTTCAATTTTATCCTTTGATCTTTTTTTAGGAATGATTGCAATGTTTTTTTGGTAGAATAATTTAAAACATTAACAGCTTTCTTCTTAATACCATAAATAAAAAATGTACCAAATTTAAAGACAAATCTTCAATTTTAAACAAAGAAGTTGACAAAAATGATTGACAATGACAATGGCTGACATTGTACAAATATTCTATTCATTGATGATCGAAGATATTTTCTCATTAAGAATCATTTAACAAATTAGACCTCATGGCAAAGTGTCTCATGAAAGCACAGTCAATGAAGGAACCTATCAGGATACAAAAAGTATCTCAATACTTACTTTACCCCTGGTGATTATCAGATCTTGCGAGCTAAGAAGGTGCATTTCCAGGTCTGACAGGTCTCCAATTAGTGATTTGTCTACATCATTTAATTCAGTTTTTCTATTTGTGTTAAAGTCTTTGAGGCTGAAAAAAAAGTATTAATAGAAAATACAGATTCTCACAATGATTTCTCTTGAATCTCTGGATTTTATTTTGCAAATAATGGTGATTTATCTAATTCTGAGTGTAGTCAAAGATTCATTGTCACCTACATGACAAACATATTAATTTGAGGATTGAAGTATGATTTCATGTTGTCTATATATACATGTATGATATGTTTTCAAAATTTAAAACCATGGATATCAAACTTATTATCACAAGCGACAAACAACCCAGGGATTACAAAAGTGTGCAGAACAGGACACAAGTTTAATCACAAGTGTTGTTTGGCACCAATATTCATGGATTCCATGAATAGAGGAATAAAAAATTTAAATACACAAATTTTCTATAAGAATATATATGCAGACTTTGGCAAAATCATGAAATTGCAATTTACCTCATACCACGAAAATTGGTACCCATGAAATAAAGGAATCCACAGTATAATTATTGCACTTATAAGAGAAATGCATCAGCTTTTAAAATTAGTGTAGGTCATGATATATTTCTAAAAATTACTGCACAGCTAATCCTTGTCATATTGAACATTATTTTTGAAATGTAATAATTTAAGTAAATGCTAAGGTAATGCAGTTATTTGCAAATAAATGCCATTCCACAGATATTCTTTTTCTAGAATTCACAGCTGTTATGTTTTTTAATGGATCTAGAAAAAATGAAAAGGATTGACAAGTAAGACAAAGGTAAGCAGCAAGGTAATGCCGAACCATATGAGGGAACAGATATTATTACTTTACAGAATGGTGGGCATCAATTGATGACAAAAGCATGTCTGTGCCAAACTAAAGTCTAATAATTACCTCATTGCATCTATTTCCCCTGATCTTCTTTTGTTATATAGGAGGAGTCTGGCTTGTGCAATCGTGCATAGACTGCTGTACACATCTTCCTTATATTGGAAATCTTTCAACCTTGTTATTAGATGAATATTTAACTTTCTTACATCTTCTGGACTTGGTATAGCCTTATTTTGACTAAATGTTCTCAAAATTAATATTGTTCTAGCCAGTTTCGTCACACGCTCACCCCATTCAGACTTATTCAAAATGTCCACATTGTTGCAAGCCTCTATTCCTTTTTTAGTGTCATCACCTTTATCAGTGGATTTGATTAGACGATTTCTTTTTATTTTTATCATAGTTGTAAGGTCATATTTGATTTTTATTGCATTTGAAGGTGATTTTAAATCATCTTCATCGTCCATTGTTGGAGCTGACATAGGGTTGATACAGCGACTTGGGTACATTCTGTAATGATAAGGAAGGTGGACGTTTAACTGCAAATGAGGACCTAAATGCATTTTTATTATGTCATAAAAGTTACCTTAAGTAACGTTTACTATTATACAGAAAAAATATATATGAAGCCATTACAAACATGGCAATTAAAGCGACAATTTAACAACAAAAACAAATGGTGAATATACCTGCTTAATTAAAACAAATAAAATGAAATAATTCCGATAAGAATTATAAAGTAAATCATTAAATGAAATGTCAGCAACAAATGTTATTTTCTCTGCTAAATTACGGTAATGTTTTTAAGCTGAACCCCAAAGGATGACTGGGGAAACGAAATATGGTCACTTAATCTTCTCCTGACCGGCAGTAAGACGCTTGCCGAAGTGGGGCTTCCGTTTGGCTGTGCGGGATGTATTTAGGTCGCACTTATTTACAAATGTTCAAAGTCTATCGTTTCTTGATCTACTCTTGTTGAATAGGAGACAGTGCTGTTTCTAGTTGTCTCCATACTCTCATCACTGTATAAATATCCTTCCTTATCAGAGTCAAACTCACTGTAGTTGTGGGGTTGTGTCAACCACTGTTGCTGCCAGAGAAATGTCATCTTCTTCACTGTCACTAACAACAATACATTTTGTATCAAGGGGGTTTCATAAGTCATGTTGTAAACCGGTTAACTCATCTTCAGTAGGGGTAGTGACAGGACCCTTGACGAAACTCAGAAAGATTCAATTAACAATCTGCCAGTGAGAATTGTACCAGATGAAGTGAATGTAAAAGTAAAAATTGTGTTTCAGTTAATAAATATTATTTGGAGGTTGTAGATTGTGAAATACGATTTGTTTGAATGATATCACGCATGACCTAAATCAAGAAACGTGTTTCGTCTATACAAGACTCGTCAATATATGTTGTAACATTTAAATCTTTATAAGTAAAAGTCGGCATAGATACATGAAGATTTCATCCCTTCCAAGTGGATACTGGCCAGTTTGGTCAACATGTGATGGTAACTATATCACTCATGTTATGTGGAACAAAAGAAAACAGCAAAAAGTTAAGATAAGCTGCATGTGTTCATGGAGCAGTCCATCAAAATCATTACATTGAATATGTAAGTTTAATATGTTGGTTTAAAACACTTAGCCAATGGTTATGTAACTAGTTTCTTATATGCAACTATAATTATAAAAAATTCTTTCTCATGGTACAAACATACAATTGGGCACTATGCTCTTTCCATTTCATTGAGAAGATTCTATATTATATTTTAAAAGTGCATTTTATCTGTTATTAAGGTATTTTCACTTCTTGTGAGATATATATATATCTCCTATGCATACAATTATCTAATATTTAAAAATGTAGATTCAATAATCTTAATTTCATATATCTAAATCACTCTGTTGATAGTATAATAATGAACAGAGGATGAGGCAACAACCAGCCTTAAGTGAGAAATATTATAGAACATACAATTCGATCTGAGGTTATGGAAACAGCAAAATTAAACCAAGACTGGTAATTTATGTTTTTATTATTTTTATTACAATTTTTTTGCATTCTGGGGTCTGTTGTTCATCTTGTCGTTATTTTAACGATTGATTGAATTTAACGAGTCGTTTATTTTCTGTTGTTCAACAATATTATTAAATCGATTAAATAATCAATGAATTAAAATTCAATCAACTGATCGATCAAGTGATTAAATAAAACCTACCCATCATGCATTGTTTTGAAGCTTCCGGTCTGTAATAAAATGGCTGAATCTGATGAACCAACTCCCAAGCAAAGGAAAAAGACTTAAAAAGACCAACTTTTGTGTGGAAGAAGAAGACTTTATACAACAGCATCGTAAATGGAAAAATAACGAACACAGTGACCAACAAGTTAAAAAAGAAGGTTGGGATGAGATAGCCATGAAGGTAAATTCTCATGGAGTTGCTCTTCGTACTTCAACAGAAGTACGAAACAAATGGAGGAACACCACAAGAGTGGCCAATGCCGTTTATACAACACACAGGAGTGAAATGTTCAAATCTGGGGAGGACCAGCTCTTAAGCAACCTAGCTCAGCAGTAGAGGGAGTTATCCACCTGATGAAGGACACCACCAGCTTCAGAAGAATTCAGGGTGGACTTAAAACAGAGTCATTCCAGACAAGTAAGTAACTAATATTTAGTACATAAGAATATATCCCCAAATGGTTTTTTTCCTTAATTAGAACTTCAAAAGGCTCTACCTTTCTTATTGCACTTGTAAAAAGTGAACTTGATCAGTTTCACTCAACTACATGTTTTTATTTAATAAAAACAAACAATTTTTGGCAAAATGTTGTTTTCAAGGTTGATTTTTTTTTATTGATATTGTTAATTTTCAAAGAAATTCGATGAAAATAAAACACACATATTCGTAGCCTTTTTAATACCGGGATACATAGTTTCCCTTATTCAATTTTGGTATAAGTTTCGTCTGCTCCACCGTCAAAACAAGAAGGGGAATTCCATGTGTATATATATATTCTCTTGACTTCTATTCTATCATTTGAGATGTAAAACCAAATAGGTGGTGGAATTACGAATGAGTCTGCTAATAATTAAAGAGCTTGGGAGACTAGATGAGAAAGATGTTAAGCCCTAAGAGTATGATGAGATCTCCATTAATAAGCAAAACTGTAATAGTATGTAAAATATTAGTAGGTTAGAATAAGCCCCTTATGTATCCAGTATAAGGAGAAAACCAACAACCTGTTATATGTAAAATGTTATCTTATTGTAAGCAAGAACATTTTTTTTAATAAAAGTAAAAGAATGAGATTTTGAAAATCAATCTGTTATGTGAAACACTCGTCTGGGACAATGATACTTATGGGAATAAACAAATAAACACATACAGAATGTTTAATTGATATTCTTCATACAAAAGGAAATGTTTATTTGATTTCTATATTTTTTATGTGAATGGTAATACATGAAAAATTCTTAAAAACCTGAGTTTGTATATATATCCAATTGTGCTAAAGGAGATACATTCAGGATCTTTTTCATGAGGAATGATTCCTTTAATATACAACCATGGATATTAAATTGATACTTTTAGATTTTTTTCCTGCTCCTATTCATGCCATTTAACGATGTTATATTTAGGTTTCAAGAGAAATTCTTTACATTTTAAGGTCTGCAAGAATATAGAAATTAAGTATTATTTTAAAGTAAAATTTTGCCATATTTTCTATAGTATGTTAACACTAATGAAATCTATACACAATCCTTTGAGTAAATTTGACAATTACACCCATCGTTGAGGCCCACTTCAACTGGCCCCAAAACAAAAACATATACTAGTTAAGTGATGGACGTCATACTTAACTCGGAAATATACATCAGATACTAAAATTTTTAAATCATATAAGACTAACACAGGCCAGAGGCTCCTGACTTGGGACAGGCGCAACAATGCGGCGGAGTTAAACATGTATTTCAGAATAGGTAACAAAAGAAACTAAACAAAATGACAATGATATATTGTATGGATAAAGCATTGTGTTCACTAGTTATAGACCTGATGATGCCTGGAGGGGGTCATCATTGAAAATATTTTTGAAATTCAACCCAAAACAGATATAACCAAGTTACCAGAACATCATTACTTGCCTGTTCATAAAGTAAAATGCCTTGCTTTTAGCAGCAGACACACGAAATCCTTTGTTGTTGTACACTTACTATTAAATGAAGTTTAATCCTTCTATATTATAAAATGTACGACAGTTTGATTTTTACATACAAGTTCCGGATTGATTGATTGATTGATTGATTGTTAGTTGCTTAACGTCCAGTGGCAAATATTTCATGCATATTCAGGACGAGAACAAGTTCACAATAAATACAATAAGTAGGATATGTTATAGATTAAGGGATTAAGGTCGGAGAAATTTAGACTGCCACGGGAAATGAGGGTATATTGGATAGGGACAGAAATTTAGCCTTGCAACAGGTCACCTACGGACCCAGTTCCGGAGGGAAGATCTTATTTCAACTATAATACATATAAGTGTTTGTTACTTCCGTATTAGGTTTTACAACATATTTCTTAACAATAGCTGATATTCATAAATGATGAAATGATAATCAAAAACTTGTGCAATATTTGTAGAAACAGCGAACTGATATTTTATTTTCAACATTCAGTAGCTAAAGATATAGTTCCTTCGCACCAAATATCAGAAGGATATTTTACATGTTTATTTGATCCAAATAGAGAAAGATTAGCTAGATAAAAGGTCTACTTTTATAATATAAAATTGTTCTTATTTTATTGATTTCTACGAGTCAGAGGAAAGCTTCAGGATAAAAAAAAAATATATTCTAATCAATTATGGTTGCCCGAGAACACTATATGTTCTACATTTAGTATGGAATTCAAATAAGCACCACAAAACACGAAAATTCTGGTCCCAGGCCTGTACACATAAATACATGTTAAAACCTAGCGCAAGTATTATCATGAAACAAATACTCTTTCCAAATTTGAAATCACTGCAAGTGTGTAAGAGGAGTTGCAGCTCAATGAAAAAAGTCTTCTCTTTGTTGTATAGATCATGTAGATATAACACATTTTTATTTACAATTACCATTGAAATCTTTCATATATTGCATGCATTTAAAGGCTTTCCCGTTATCGTCACACTTAATACATGTATCTTTATTATTTCCGCATAGATTGGGGTGACTATCCCTACTATTTTCGTACTGAAGACTTTGCACATTTCGAACAGGTGAATTTTTTCTCATTGTCATGGCCCGCTTTGTGTCACTCAAACTGTCTTTTGTAGTTGAAGCCTTTGCAACAATAAGTGCAAAGATAACGGAAATGGCCGGAATGTTCTCTGTTAAGGTACGACAGTCCTGTTTTTGATGTAAAACTCTTCTCACATGTATTGTATTCAAAAACTAAATGTTTATGAACAGAG